AATCGAACAAACGGGTCCAATGCGGCCATACGTTTTATTGTTCTAACTCTCAACGAGCATTGGAACTACTGGGGTCCGGAGTTTAGGAGAGGTTCAATAGAATTTATCTTTATTGTTTGGACGTTAGAAATTTCTTTTAAAGAAGCAAGCCTAAATTGAACGAACTTTAGTAAATAGATTTGCTCGGAGTAGAGATGCGGTCTTTACTAACCATATTTCGATAACCATATATCGATCGCAGGCTACTGAGGGATCAAATGTTTTTATATAAAATAATAAATAACGAGATTGATTCTAGTCATCTACTTTCCAAAATTTCATTTAAATGTAGTCGTATTTCCGCGCGTTCTAAACAGACCTTCCACATGTCCACGGCTCGAACGAAATATGCTTCTAACTCTTTTGTCCGTAGATCTTGTAGGTTGTATGATGCTAAGTTCTCTAATGCTGATATCTTTTGCTTGTCACTTGTAGCATATAGAAAAGCTATTTTGGAGTGTTTATAGGGTNCTTTTGTCCGTAGATCTTGTAGGTTGTATGATGCTAAGTTCTCTAATGCTGATATCTTTTGCTTGTCACTTGTAGCATATAGAAAAGCTATTTTGGAGTGTTTATAGGGTGATTTGGCCCGATAAGTGTTGTAGTTTTATAGTGTGAGTTAATGTATAAAATGATATGTGCGTATTGTGTTGCTTTTGTTTTTTTTTTTTTATTTAAATTTCTAAATTTCTCTTCTTGTTCACTGTCTACTTATATGTGATTTTGATTGTGGAAACATATTTGGTTATTGTTTTAGCTATATTTTTTTAAATATTGTATGTTTTGTATTGTACTGTTTGTTTCCCAAATAAATAAATAAATAAATAAATAAATATTGCTGCCCAAATTTTTACTGTTGGTAGGACCTCATGTGAGTCCGCACGGGTAGGTGCCACCGCCCCGCCTATTTCTGCCGTGAAGCAGTAATGCGTTTCGGTTTGAAGGGTGGGGCAGCCGTTGTAACTATACTGAGACCTTAGATCTTATATCTCAAGGTGGGTGGCGTATTTGCGTTGTAAATGTCTATGGGCTCCAGTAACCACTTAACATCAGGTGGGCTGTCCACCGCGTCCAGCTCGAAGACCCATTTAAGCAATAAAAAAAAATTGTTTTGGGGTAGAGATGCGGTCTTTACTAACCACATTGCGGCCCAAATGCTGCGAATACCAAGTGATCAGAAGCACCAAAATGGAAATTTCGATATCCATCACGCAATATCAAGTCAGTATTATTTCTAAAGAGAAACATCACGGATAATGGTCGTTTAAAACAATCCTCGTTTAAATTTGTACTGCTAATGGCTCATAGGTGTCCAGAAAAAATTTACTGGTGGCAGGGCGTTTTTATTGGTGGTTGCAGGACGTCTTGTGAGACCTGCACGGGTAAGTACCACCACCCCACTTATTTCTGCCGTGAAGCAGTAATGCGTTTTCGTTTGGAGGGTAGAGCAGCTGCAGTACTGTTAAAACTGAGACCTTAGAACTCATGTTTCAAGGTGGGTGGCGGCATTTACGTTCTTGAAATCAGTTAATATAAAGGTGGGCTTGTGAGCTTCTCTACCCACCTCAATAATTAAAAACCTTAGGCGATTATAATTTTTTCAAAAGAATGCTAACAGATGCTCATGAATGATTACGAAGGAATAACATCGTGTATTATTATTATTATTATTTTTTTATTGCCGTATAGGCAGATGAGCATACGGCCCACCTGATGGTGAGTGGTTACCGTCGCTCATGTATTACGTACGTATTAAAAGTGCTTGTAAGTTAGCGTAATCACTTGTTTTAGGGCATTTTGTGAATGCGTCTAAGTATGCCCTATCTTCCTGCCGATTTTTAATACTTGGGACATAGATTTGAGAATTAGATCATGTTGTGGTTATCGGCGGCACTGGCGGCATCCATGTTCTGATGTCTACACGTCGTGAACACTTAACACCAAGGGTGCCGTGTACAATGAGAAATAATACCATATTCGTTAAAAATACGGTAAGTGTTGGACGATTTTACAAATGAACAAACTCCTTCTAAATCATGTCCTAGATATCATTTTGCTTTGTCGTGGCTGCTGTACCTATATACGTCTAAATACGTAAATTATATTTAATAGTATCCTCAGACGAGATTGTGATGTACCTAGCTTCGCTAAATACAAAATAAATACGTTAATTTAATATTTATAGAATTTTCTAGAGCGCAAAACACGTTAACTGTTATATTTCGAAATATTTAGAATCAATTCTACGTGTTCATTGAGTTGGTTTTATGTGGTCCCTTTGTTCCGTTATTATTATATTTTACTAGCGACCCGCCCTCGCTTCGCTTAGGGAACTGTAATTTATTATTGATAACAGTATTTCTCCACTATTTAATGGATGTTATTATACATATAAACCTTCCTATTCAATCACTCTATCTATTAAAAAAAACCGCATCAAAATCCGTTGCGTAGTTTTAAAGATTTAAGCATAAATTGGGATATAGGGACAGAGAAAGCGACTTTGTTTTATACTATGTAGTGATGAGAATTTTGCTACAGTATATTTTAACTTTATTTTTATATAACAAGGTAAACGTAGAATGGAAACTGGAACTGATGTCCATGAAATTAAGGTTCAGTTTCGAAAAAAATCCAAAATATCCAAATCCGATTAGTTTACTTATGGTAATTAATTCCAAGGACCCGTAATTAAGTGCATCATCATCATAAATTGGTTTTATTTAATTACTGGTACTGGTAGGACGTCTTGTGAGTCCGCACGGGTAGGCACCACCGCCCTGCTTATTTCTACCGTGAAGCAGTAATGCGTTTCGGTTTGAAGGGTGGTGTAGCCATTGTAGTATGCAAACTGAGACCTTAGAATTCATGTCTCGAGGTGGGTGGCGGCATTTACGTTGTGGGTGTCTATGAGCTCCGGCAACCATTTAACGCCAGGTGGACTGTGAGCTTGTCCACCAAAAGAGTAAGCAATAAAAAATATATTTTAATAATAATTTTATTTTAATAACTAAGCAATAAAAAAATATAGCCGTCCATTTTACGATATGAGATTATAGACTTAACTTTTTTTATTGCCCTTGTAGGCAGACGAGCATACGGCCCACCTGATGGTGAGTGGTTACCGTCGCCCATGGACTTCAGCAATGCCAGGGGCAGAGCCATGCCGCTGCTTACTATAACTATATTGTACGAATATAACGCCTGTAGCAAACCTGTTCTTCAAGCCTGAATGTAGGACTGCTTCATGATACAAAAAGGTAGCATCGTAGAACCAATTCGTGCGGGTCCTGACATCAATTGAGTACGCAAAATTACCAAGTTTCAAGGTGATATCTATGTATGTTGTGGATGAATTTTTCAAAATTGAAATAACAAATCTCATTACGTCCATATATATATACTTAACCAGCCTTTAGGTTAAGGTAGTTTTCATGTTAATTTAGAGTTTTTGTTTTATTATTATTATTATTATTTGAGTTTTTGTTTTTATTATTATTATTATTGTTTTTGTTTTAGTCCGAGATTAGTTATTATTTTTATTTAATTTTTAGTATAAATGAAATGTTAATTTTAATGAAAATGCAAGCGTGATTACACTCGCAAATAATAAAATTGATATCAGAACGAGCAATCAAGAATGTAAATTTTTCATCTGGTTTTTCCCGTTTCTTTTCTCGTAATATGGGTTTCTTTGTTCGTTTATACATAACGTAATTTATACACTTGGAAATGTTTCGAGCTTTCATTGTTGTACGCTTTTACAAAAGCGTCTTGTGCGATCACAAACTCATTGTATTTAGTTTGAACTTACCAAAATATTACATAACAAGACTCCCCTCAAAAGCCTTACTTAACTGATCTGATCATCAGCCTGTAGTAGTGTGTCTACTAATTCTCTAATTAATTTCATCTTGATTACTAGTGTTAGTTGTCCCAATCGGCCTATTTTAGTGTATGGATCGGGGATAGCAGTAGCATTATGGTGTGGCCTGGCCTCCGATGAGTACAGGACTAATCTTGGACCATTAAGTCGAAGTTTACTGGTGGTAGGACCTCTTATGAGTCTGCGCGGGTAGGTACCACCACCCTGCCTATTTCTGCCGTGAAGCAGTAATACGTTTCAAGGTGGGTGACGCATTTACGTTGTAGATATCTATGGGATCCATTAACCACTTAACATCACGTAGGCTGTGAGCTCGTCTACACATCTAAGCATTAAAAAAAGTATCAGTTGAATCAGAATAGTAACTTTATTTCCTTTTAAAAAGGAGGAAGGTTTAACGTAAAATGGATCATTGCTACACGCTCTCAAGAGCTTTGGTTGAACAAAGAATTGACAGCTATTAGAAGAGCATGATCCAGACAAAAGTAAAGTTAAATATTCTCGTGAACGAAGCGTATCACGTTTTTTATTATTAATTAGCTGATATCAAGCGATTTTTACCTGTCTATGTAAGTTATTGCAGCCAAGAGATCGTTGTGTGAAATGCATTCGTAAAACGCCCGTTCCGCCCTAAAGACTCTAACCCATTCGCGAAACGTGCCAAGAATAGTATGCACTACGTTCATACTTATCACATTATAATGGATTGTCACAAGGCAAGTCCTTGGCACATAATAGTCCTCAAGGTGCTTCGAAGTGTAAGTCCCAATCATCATACATAATCTACAATTTACAAAAGGAACAAAGAATCTTTCTCCATCAAATTATGTGTACATTTTTTTGTCTTTTCCGAGTTGAAGAATAAAGAATGATATCTTAAGGCAGTAAGCTCTACTTGTTGACTATAAGCGCAACAGATACATTTTCCTTTGTTATCGCCAATTCCCACAATTCTATTTCTGCGTAATAGGGTAATTGAATTTCCAAGACCCCTTTGTCTGTTCAACACATTTCAATACAAAGAAAAAGTTTAAGCTATATTAAACATCTAGAGGCAAATACATTTAAGACTTACCTTCTGTTTTCGACTTCTCGATGTCAAAGCGAACCGGTTCACTGATTTTCTAGGTGATACTTTAACAGTATTAGAGCGGGGGACGCGTCTATACCAGTGGGCTGCCGGAACGCGACTGCGGCAAGTCTTGTTTCGACTCCTAAATCTACCTTTACCTGTTACTTTGTCAGGCGCGGATCTAGTGCTGTTATATCGTGAAAGTAACCGATATTCGTCGCTAGTACGTGTCTACGTCCGAACTCTGCTACGAATGTGCTACGAATGTTGCTACGAATATTTTAAGCACAAATGACAGATTTTGTCAGTGTTTATTATGTTTTCTACAATAAAATTTTCGATAGTACTAAAAAGAAGTCAATTGCCTTAAGAAGAGCATCGTAACTAGTCCAAGAACTATAATATTTTAGTAACCTTTTCTAAATCGTCGATTTGTAGGCTTACATTTAATTTAGTAAGAACAAAAGTATACATAGCTTTGTATTTTCAAACACCTAAGGACATAAAATTTGCCTTGATCCTTTTATCCGACTTAACCTAATAGGTGTATGGGTCTAATAAAGAATAAAAAAAAAAGTCCTTTTATCCACTCAAGTCCCAAGATAGTATCCCTAGAACCTAGTATACTAATATTTAATACTAGTTCCATTCAAAATCAGACACAAACATTAATTTACCAGCTTTTATTACTTCATACAGTCGGCTTAACCTCCGGGGATTCGTCGGTCTATAGCTCACAGCTGTGTCTCTCTCAGTCTCTCTTGTGGTTAAAACTGAAATGATGAATAGGAGGAAAAGAGATGTAGTACTTTTGGCAGTTTTGCTTAAACTATTAGGGACGTCGCTTTATTTCAATTTTTTTGTGACTGTATTTTTTTAAGTTGGAATTTAGGTAGTTTTTTTTCAGAGGTTTGCCTCTTTTTGTTTTCTTTCCAATTAAAAGTAATGTCTTGACTAGCCGTTATTAAAATTTATATATTGAACGATTAGTTAAATGACTTTAATTGTAAGCTCACAGGGTTGTGATCACTATTCCACTTATTTTAACTAACATCTCTCCTGCTCCCTTGAAACAGCGTTATTTCTGGATTCTTGATACAACAAAACAAAAAATCAGATTTGACAATTTATGTTTTGTTGGGTTTTTTTTTTTTTAATCGCTTTAGATATGCGGACGAGCTCACAGCCCACCTGGTGTTAAGTGATTATCGGAGCCCATAGACATCTACAGCGAAAAGGCCGCCACCCAGCCCGAGACACGAGTTCTAAGGTCTCAGTACAGTTATACAGTTTTGTTGATTCTCATTGCACGTAAGGTAATTAACGCGAGGCGCGGGTCAATTGACGTAGGCGGCTGTCAGGTTACTTAAGGTTATTCAAACGTTACACGAAATATGAACCAATGGAAAGTGATCTGTGAAGTGAGTTCGTATGAGAAAGTACAGGTGTTTATGGTTCAACCATTCAATAGAGTTCATTTACTGGTGGTAGTACCTCTTGTGAGTCCGCACGGGTAGGTACCACCAAAAGCTATATTCATTCATACTCTTTTACTCTCTATTATTGTAATAGGAATTAAATATTTTGTGCCATCAACAATTTGAAGTCGTCGTGGCCTAAAGGACAAGACGTCCGGTGCATTCGTATCTAGCGATGCACCGGTGCTCGAATCCTGCAGGCGGGTACCAATTTTACTAAATAAAATATTTAAACGTTAAATACGTACTTAGCAAATGTTCACTTTTGAATTCCACAGTGAAAGAATGACAGCGTGTAATAAAAATCAAACTCACAAAATTATAATTTGCGTAATTACTGGTGGTAGGACCCCTTGTGAGCCCGCGCGGGTTGGTACCACCACACTGCCTATTTCTGCCGTGAAGCAGTAATGCGTTTCGGTTTGAAGGGCGGGGCAGCCGTTGTAACTATAATGAGACCTTACAACTGATATCTCAAGGTGGGTGGTGCATTTACGTCGTAGATGTCTATAGGCTCCAGTAACCACTTAACACCAGGTGGGCTGTAAGCTCGGCCACCCATCTAAGCAATAAAAAAATAACACTCACACAACTGAACCGATAATGACGATTTTCGTATGGACATAGTTTGAGCACTGAGAAAGTATATATATATATATATATATAGAGAGAGAGAGAGAGAGAGTATTCTTTATTGTACGCCAAAAAACAAATAAACAGTGCTATACATTAAACACAAAAAAGTACAATTGGCGGTAAATATACAGTACGTTTTATCCCACAGCTGGGCCCGACTTCTGCCCACGTAATATAAAGTATACGAGTAGTCCACGGAGACTAAGATATTGGCGGATAGCTAGTAATAAGGATTTGCGTGGCCTGTGTGCTTAGTGCGAGTTTTTTAACGTTCTCGATAGCGTAAGAGTTAACTCAAATTTGTATGGAGGTGGAACGTTTGCCGCTAGAGACGCTGTTTCAACTGCATACAAATTTAAGTTAACTTTAATGCATTAAGCTCACTGAACACGTATTTGATATTAACATAGCTCTGACGAAGATGATTTTTCAAGACGCAATGCCATCTATCGGCGAACAGTGGAAACATGGAAAATCTGTATCTTGCTGAAAATGTTTTCAGCGCAATTTAGAAATATTTCATGGATAAAAGCCATGAACAACAACATTGGAACCGCCGGCTTACCGAACAAAAACAGATTGGTGAAAAAAGTGTGCTCTGCGTTAAGTGATCTGATTCGTATTTGGTGGGAGTTGTAAGTAAACAAGACTTGGTTTAAAATTCGGAAGGCAGGCATCAATTTTCCNTGTATCTTGCTGAAAATGTTTTCAGCGCAATTTAGAAATATTTCATGGATAAAAGCCATGAACAACAACATTGGAACCGCCGGCTTACCGAACAAAAACAGATTGGTGAAAAAAGTGTGCTCTGCGTTAAGTGATCTGATTCGTATTTGGTGGGAGTTGTAAGTAAACAAGACTTGGTTTAAAATTCGGAAGGCAGGCATCAATTTTCCCAACATCACTTCCACATACCCGATCCTGTGGACCGAATGGTAAACAGTCGACGTCGCCCTAAACACGTCATTTCGGATCTTCCAGATCCAGTAACTAAACTTGAAACTAAAGGACTCGACGAGTAAATTGAGCCACAGACACAGCCCACTGAGTTTATCGTCGGATCTTCTCAGCGGGTCGCGTTTCCGATCCGATGGTAGATTCTGCGAAGCACTGCTCTCCTAGGGTCAGTGTTAGCAACGTCACCAGGTTAGAGCCCCTACTCGTCCTGTGAATCCAGTATAACCCCTCGAAGTTACTAGAAAAGCTAGGAAAAAAAACCTTCAAAACGAACAACATCGCTTAATAACGAAAAGATTAAAAGAAATGTAAATTAGCGTATTTATTTGTGGAAGTGCGTATTGAGAACCTGCTTGTTCAGGTATTATCGCAGGTATCATCCCGCATATTATTATTACTGCAGCGAAGCCCTCGTTTGTTCCATTTTGAAAAATAGAACAGACTTCATACAAAATATTTGAGACTTACATAAAATGGATAGCAACTTACAAGTGGTAATGGCTACGAGCTCCAGCAACCCTTAACACTAACTACATGAACTAATCTGTCTGAGTGGGTCTCGAAAGAGAATAGCACCTCCCCATCTCTTCCCAGGTACCAGGTGGTACCAGGAGCGTGGGGCGACCTCCAAGCAGGTGGACCGACTTCTTAGTGCGCACGGCAGGAAGTCGTTGGATGCGTAAGGCGGAGAACCGCATTATCTGGAAGGCATTGGGGAAGGCCTATGTCCAGCAGTAGGCAGATAAAGGCTGATGATGATGATCTCTTCCCGTGGGTGTCGTAAGAGGCAACTAAGGGATCTTCCAGATGGGCACCAGCGTTCTCCAAGTATCGTAACAGCCCACTGTAATCGCGAACACGCATGCCAAGCATAGCGATCATGACAACCCCTCAAACATGTCGGACATTTCTGCCCATTTAGGGCATAAAAAATACATGTATAAATAATCAAAGTTACTAGTTTTAGTTGGCAAGTCAGGTTTCTGTCACAGAATTGCCGGTTTATCCCAGCGACCACTAAGCCTCTCGGTCAGTGGAGAAACAGAACCCCGTGTAGATGACCCGTTGGGTCCAGGCCAGCTTGGGTCGTGGAGCGTAGTCTTCTATCTTCCAGTACCTCATTTGCCAGACGGTTGTACGGTATCTTAAACGTCGTCTTCTTGGACCTTCCTAGACAGCTTCTAAGCCGGCATATGGGAGGGCCTGACATATTCCCTATCCCACCTTCGGCGTTAATGCGACGTTTGATGCAGTGATAGGGGAGCGATATGTCCTACTTCCCGATGCCGTACCATACAGCTAAGCCCTCTCAAAAGCCAAGGATCGTCCAATACAGGTTAACACTGCTAAGGCAATGGTTCGGTAGAAATCTGTGCGATAAGGTCATGAGTCCGTCATGTTCAGACTACAAGCAAACATTCTGACAGTGACATTATTCGAAATGGCACGCGCATGATCTCGATGACAGTTATCATGCGTGTCAACTTACATCGGACACACTATTGTTAAATAAAATAAAAGACAATGAAAAAAAATCTTTTTTTTTTGTTACGAAAATATCAGCACAAAACTAATTCACCCGCAAATGAGGGTCTAATGTTATTTTACCGTGTCATTCACCACTTNCATTCTGACAGTGACATTATTCGAAATGGCACGCGCATGATCTCGATGACAGTTATCATGCGTGTCAACTTACATCGGACACACTATTGTTAAATAAAATAAAAGACAATGAAAAAAAATCTTTTTTTTTTGTTACGAAAATATCAGCACAAAACTAATTCACCCGCAAATGAGGGTCTAATGTTATTTTACCGTGTCACTCACCACTTAGACGATAAAAGCTGGTTTGTTCAGAGGTAGGGTGCGCCTACAATTAATGACAAACAATATTTTGCTTAAAGTTAATCGTTAGGCGCTTTTCAAATTGTTTTTAACTTATCGCAATATCTTTTGTGATAAGATATGTCCAAAAATAAATGTATTATGAATTCAACAGGTCTATTTTTTATTGCAGTATATGACTTACATGAGGTAATGTAACCGATGCCCGTATA